GGCCCGGGGGCCTGGCTGCGCGGCGTGACCGCAGCCCGCGTGCCCTGGCCGCCGTTTGAGGTGACCGTGGTTGCGGTCGAAGCGGGGTTCTTCGCCAGGCGTTTTCTTCCGAGCCCGGGACTGAACTCGGTGCCGGCAGTGCCCGGCAGATTGTAGTCTTCTTGCAATAAACCTCCTCCCTGTTACCACCCCCTGGGGACACGCGGGTGCTGCTGTCTGAAGGCACTTGGTTAGAGAATGCCTGCTTCCAGCTCTGCTCACGTCTTTTAAAATGTCTCTTTGTCTTTTTTGTTTCTTTTAGATTAAGTTATATACAAAACACGGTACTCTGAAATACCAGACAGATTGCGCTCCAAATAATGGGTATTTCATGATTCCCCTCTATGATAAGGTAAGGAACTGAAATACCAGTGCTGTCTCCTATACGCTGGAGGCAGGAGCTGCCAGCAGGTTAAATGTCAGAACAGTGCCCACCCGTGAAACATTTGAATTGGGCATAATTTAGTTTGTTTTGGACCAAACTTTCAGCTGTTTCTTTTTGTAATGCAACTATTTTATTTCTCAGTGCTATGTATTATCACCAGAAAAGCCAGGTAACTTCAGCAGCAGCGTTGTGTTTGCGCCATTTCTCTCTATACCTGCAGCATTGGGAGCCTAAGTTACTGCCAGCAGCCATGTGCTAGGAGCTGTACTCGAAAGTATTTGTAGAAGTACAGGTTCCTATAGAGTATGGATAGTGCTTGCAGTTACCTACAGATATAAATGAAAAATCTATATGAGAATATGTTTTGATATGAATGAATGTGAAATAACTTGCATATCTAATTGCAGATATTAAAAATGTCTTAAGATAATGATACAGGAAGCTCAGAATGTCTCAGAAGTTTGATGGCTATTTAGACTGGAAAAATGTTTACATTCAAATTAAATACAAGCTGCTCTCAGATGGTCTAAGTGGTTTGCTCTTTTAAAGAGCTGGCTAACTTAGGGATCAGAAATAAATCCTTCCCTTCCAAACCTAAGAATGTAAGATGCTTTCTGATCTCAGTGATTTCATTCTTAGGTCTTTGAACCTTTCCATGGATGAACTTCAGAACATATGTGGCAGAACATATGTGGTGCCCACTGATTTAAAGAGAATCTCTGTGTAGATTAATACTCTTTTGGTGCAGAGCTTTTAATAGGATTGAAATTTTGTTATCCCGTGTCTGGGCAAAATGGATGAGTAGGATCTCCTAGTGGAAATACTGAAGGCTCATGTAGAGCACATCTGTTGGGGCAGGCAGAGATAGGTTTGAGCACTTTCTAACACTGAGCTGCTTGAACATGAGCCAGGTTTGGTCTGGAAGTGATATAAACATGATGATACTTAATTTTGCGCTTAGCTGGCTGTATGTGAGCCCAGCATCCGAGCCTGTCTGGGTAGATATTGCTGCTTCTTTGAACAGAACATCTTAGATAGGAGGAAAGGAGAATGGGACACTTGAATCTTGTGTTAGGCTCTGCAGCATGATGCTTGTGTTCTGACTTTTTTTATATTTTTTTCATCCTTTAGCTAAATGGAATTTAGAACAGTGAAGACAGTTATTGCTTTTTTATTTTTAGGGGGATTTCATTCTTAAAATTGAACCTCCCCTAGGATGGAGTTTTGGTAAGTGCTCATATGTCTTCTTACAATAGGACAGTGTATCTGCAATGGGGAACTTAACTATCTTTAACTTGCAGTTGGCAGAGAAGAGATAAGCCTTGCTGTATGGTTTTAATAACTAAAATGTACTTACTGTACCAGAGGAAAATAAAGCTATAAGGTAGACACTGTCAAAGTAACCCATGAACGGATTTGAAGGTTTTGACAGAAATGGCTGCAATGGGAAGGGGGAAAGAGGATTTTCAGCGTCAGGATTTGTGAGTGCTTTGACTTTGCTGAGGCAAGACTTCCAAAACAACACTTGTGTGCTTGAGTTAGTGCATTTCTGTGATATTTTTGTAAAGCTAAAGTAGAATTGCTTCATAATTGCTCTCTTGCTAACTACCATGCTATTTCATTGCTCTTCCTTTCCAGAACCAACCAGTGTAGACATCCATGTGGATGGCATTAATGACATTTGCACAAAGGGAGGAGATATTAACTTTGTGTTCACAGGGTTTTCTGTGAACGGAAAGGTTAGACTTTATTTATTCCATCTTATGCTAATTCTGTCTTCATAAAAACATTCTACTTCAGCTCTGCAAGTTACTTTTATCCATTTATACTCTGGTTTCTCTTAATTTTGACAGGTTCTCAGCAAAGGTCAGACATCAGGTCCTGCTGGAGTCCAGGTTGTACTGAGAAATCCCGGCAGTGACATAAACATACAAGCAACTATTACACAACCTGGAGGAAAGTGAGTGTGGGTGGTGCATACTGTTCTTTTAGACAAGGTTGTTTCAATTCTGCCATATCGACTGGAATTACAGTAGTTCTGAAATATTTTTTTGAATGTATATAGAGTCTGAATTGTTTTTCTGTAAATAAATGTTTATGACGATTTCTGAAGAGATGTAACCCCTTTCTTGCCTTACAGGTTTGCTTTCTTTAAAGTGCTTCCTGGCGAATATGAAATCTTTGCATCTCATCCTACCTGGGTGTTGAAAGAGGTTAGAGCCTACAGAAGTTCTGGTTTACCTGTTTAGTGTGGGTGGATCTGCTAGACCTCATCTTGATCAACTAGTGTGAGGATGGGATTTGTGAATGAACAAGGTTAATGGAGTTTTCAAAAATGTAATTTCGGTAATCAAGAAACTGCCTCGTGCAGGCCTAGTTTGGAGATACTGGAGCCAGTCAGGAAATGACTGGAAAATGAGCTCTTGCTTTTGGTCGTCTAATCCTATGCATTATGCAGGAGCTTGAATATTATAGCAGATGCTCTAATCCTTCCATCTCAGAGTGCTTGCTTTCAGAGAAGCTCTGAGATCCTGACTAATTCCTAAATCAGTGAAACAGGAAAACTGCTTTGCAAAGTATCTTTGCTTTAGTGTCTTTGTGTTTTAATAGCCTGTGGACCGTCTTTGAGTACTGCTGCTGTGGCCTCTTTTTCTGTTACGTATATTCTGAATGTACAGCTTCCAATTGCTATTTAGCTGCTGTAAATGAGATCTAATGCCTACTTTTGATGAAAATGTATGTGTTTCTGTATTTCAGTCAAACACAGTGGTACGGGTGATGAGTTCTAACGCTTACGCTGCTAGCCCTCTGATTGTTGCTGGCTACAATGTTTCTGGGTCAGTAAGGAGTGATGGAGAACCAATGAAAGGGGTCATGTTTCTCCTTTTCTCTTCTTCAGTCACTAAAGAGGTAATGGTATATCAGTACCTTTTCAGTATGAGCATGGACCTAAATAAGCAGCTAAATAGCTTCTATATTTGTATTGCCCTGTTACTCATTTCCATCCTTCATTGAGCTTGGCTTATAGAAAACATAAACTGTACAACCCCTCAAGATGTATTTTTTGTTTGGGTTTTTTGTTTTTTTTTTTTTCAACAAGGCCCTTGTCATACAACATTTGTGTACATGCTGAGTTTTCACGCGACCTCCATGGAATTAGTCAGATGTGTAACAAAATAGCTATCTGTTTAAATTTTGGCAAAGTTGAGGCTTAAAAACTACATATTTTTCACACACACACAAAAAAATTCTTTTAATTTCAACTCTTCTGAACTCTTCATTATTGTTTTCAAACAATCAGGTTCCTCAACAATCAGTATGTTCAGGAACATAGTAGACTAAGACCTGAACTGAAGCAAGCAACAAGTGCAAAATATAATATGGTTCACAGCATGTTATTGATCTGTATATTCCCTGTGGATCAGCAGAGTTAAGGGCTACAATTTGAAGACAAAATTCTTCAGTTACACCTTTTCACATGTTAAGTGTTGGTTAGTAAATGTGTTCCCTCACGAGGATGACACTCCTCCATGGTGAAAGACCAGCTTCTGGCACAAGACACAAGATGTTGCCAGACAAACACTGACATTCCCTGTATAGTAGCTCTAATTTGTCTTCAGCATGAGGTCTTAATTGCTGTTTGCCCTCTTCTTGTGAAGACAAAGTTCAGCAGCTTCTATTGCCACCTTAAAAGTATGTCATGAAATGAGTGTGAAATATTTGGTCGTGTACTGTGGTTTGTTATGTAGAGTAGAGCTGTCTTCTGTACTGTTAATCCTGTCCACAGAACTGAAGTCAGTTAATGTTAAGATATGCAGTGCAGTTCTGGGGTACGGGGGGATGTTGAATTTCCCAGTTTTCTGTCTGTGTTACATAAAGTTAATTATTGGTGTTTTTTTCCCCTCTTTTACCTACACATGAATTGGAAGCCATGCTGTCAAACTTTGCCTCTGAAATGATTTTGTACTTCCCATCCTTCATTCACAGTGTAGTATTTTGAACCCTCTTACATCCCCCCTGAAATTTTCTTTGTTTTCCCATGGGAAAAAAGTTGAATTGCATTTATTACCACAGGATGTTGTGGGCTGTAATATTTCTTCTGTGGATGGATTCCAGTCAAGAGATGAGTCTCTATCCTATTTGTGCAACGTTGTATCAAAAGAAGATGGATCTTTCAGCTTTCTTTCTCTGCCAAGTGGGAAATACACTGTGGTAAGCAGCTAGAAAGTTCATTGCTTGTTTATCCATTGGATTGTTAACTTTCATTTTCTAAACTAGATCATGCATAATTTTTAGCTGTTAAAACAGAAGTAGTTGAAATATTTTGAGTTGGATGAAATAACTGGAATAGGAATCTCCAACGTAAAGTATATGACAGAGAAGTAAGTTGCTGTGCCAGAGCTCTGTGGTGTGGTTTCTGAGAAAGGACTTATTTGCAAATGAGGCTCTGATTTACCTGAATACACTGGCCAGTCACAGAACCACACCTAGAGGCTGCTGGGAGACCGAAAGTTTCAGTTGACTGCAGCCACCTCATGTCCTTGAAGTTCTCTGTTTTCTTTTTTGCCCATTCTGTTTGTTATGTCCAGGTAGTGTGGGAGCATGTGGGTGCAATGCCTAGGATGATTGTTCTGCATTCTTAGCCTGCGTGATCTAGAAGTGGGATTCAAACTTCTTTCATTCCTTTAACCCTTCTAGTGATCATATAGTCTCCTATCTGTAAGTTCTTGCACATCCAACTACCTTTGCTGTATTCTGAGTAGTTACTTTTCTGTCTCTTTGGATAATCTTATATGATTTCCATGACAGTCTTGAAATACTGCCTTTGTTTGTGTCTCCATCCCTCTGAATGAGTTATTTTTTCCAGGAAGTTTGCAGCCCATTTGACCCCTCATAGAGTTGTCTGATGGTGATAAGGACATGAAAAATGGTAAAGGAAAACAATTCTGTCATCGTAGCTTCTTAGGAGTCAAAATGATGTGTCTTCTTTCAGATACCATTCTACAGGGGAGAGAGAATTACCTTTGATGTTGCTCCATCTAGACTGGACTTCCTTGTAGAGCACGACAGTTTACAAATTGAGGTAACACTAATATTTTTGTGCCATTTGTTCCTGTAAAAGTATAAATGATTTTTGCAGAAAGCAGGTGTATTACAGAAAGACTTCCTTGTAAGAAGTATGAAGACATTTGTTACACATACTGTCTTGCACAGCAGGTAGAAGACAATATCTGGCATTGATTTCCCTTTTACTAGGAAGAAACAAAGTAGGGAGAAGCAGTCTACTGTGTTCACCTTCGTGTGCATATTGCAAACAGGCAATAATCTTTTAGGTTGCTTAAATTTACTCATTCAGATTGTCAAATCTCTGGTGAAGAGCCTGTAAGTTTGCACAGTTTGCAGAGTGGCTTGTGTAATGGCATTATTATCTGTGACTTGGGCCTTCTGAACTGCACTGATGCAGATAAATTGAGAATCTGTTCCTGTACTTAGGGGAACAGTACGCCTGGAGATTGATACGTACTTTCATTGTGATTATCCTGGTAAATTTTTTTCCCTAAAGCTGGAAATAAATTTCCTTTATATGTATGTGTGGAAAACAGTGAGTGTTGATTGCTGTAGGTGTGTGTCTGCTTTTACTGAGTAAAGATTAATGTTAACTTTTTTCCTATTACAGCCTGTTTTCCATGTGATGGGTTTCTCTGTCACAGGCAGGGTGTTGAATGGTCCTGAAGGAGAAGGAGTTGCTGATGCCACTGTGACTCTGAACAATCAGATTAAAGGTGTGCAGTGGTCTTGGTCTTTGTTGCTACAGGGAAGCCTGTATTAAGTCTAAGTACAGGATTAGTGTATGAGATGGAATTAAGACTTCAGGATAATACGCTACTTGTTGCAATTTATTTGAAATATTTTAAACTGGTTTTCATTCAGTTGATTAATTTTGCATTTTCTGTCTTAGATGAAAGTATTAGGTGTTCATTTGTAGAAAATTTCTTATGTTTTATTTCAATCACATGCCAAATTGTGCTTTGAAATACAGGAATGAAGGTTGGTCTAGTAAGAAAGCATAATCCTGCTTCTTTGTTGTGATACGTAAATTAAAAATAGCCTAAAGCAGTGCATGCCCTCTAGCTCTTCTGGTACATAAGGATAGACAGTCAAGACATGTGCTGTTTTTTGACTCATCTCTTTATTGGTTACAGTAAAAACAAAAGCTGATGGCTCTTTCCGCCTTGAGAACATAACAACAGGTACATACACAATTCATGCCAGGAAAGAGCATCTCTTCTTTGATACTATTACAGTGAAGATTGCACCAAATACACCTCAGCTAGCAAACATCATTGCAACAGGGTAAGTGTGGTGTCATGATGAAAATGTAATTTGGTATGTGGACAAGGTCTTGAAAATGGATGGTCCTTTCCCATGTCATGCACAGACTTGTGTAGTGTTGTCAGGAGCTAAATACTGCTTGAGAAATTCAAGATAAATAGGACAGCACGAGTGCAGGGTAATGTTTTGTCCATAGTATTTTGCTCAATACTTGTTAAGGCTTAGAGCACTCTCTTAATAACCTCTCCCTTGCAAATGAAGATGCTAAGATGTGGGTATATTGAGCGATTATAGAACTGTACGTGAACCAAGAAAGGAACAGAGAGGCTTTCTGCTGCTGATGCAACACTTTAGATACCCTCCTTCTGTGCAGGAGTGGAGTTACATAACAACTACTCCAGTGTTGTACCAAACCTCTACATTTTTTTACTCATCACTCTCAAGGTCATAAATGTCATATATATTGCCTTTTTCTTGTTTGTGATTCTTTGACTGCTGGGCATAAGCCTGTATAATGGTAACAGGATTATTCTGGGAGTGTAAGGCAGTGGTGGGAAATACAGTGTGAGCTGAGGAAGATGAAAGGGGCATGGTTCTCTGTCCAGGAGCTTCTTCTGGAGGACAAAATAGTGGCAACCTTCCGGAGAAATGAAAGCAAGGAATTTACTGGGGCTAATGGCAACTAGCTCATGCAGACATAGCCAGCTAACTAGAAGAAAACCCTGTGTGCTGTTAAATGGTCAATTACAGTTTTTTCAGTCACTAAATATGTTGTAATGTTGAAGGTGAAAAGTAAAACTTCACAGCTTCCAATTTGTTGTCATGTCTGTGTTTTCACAAACATAGGTGTACTAGAGTTGTGTTAAAGTGAATTACCTATTGTATTTGACGTCTTTGACATAAAACATTTCAAACCATTTAAAACCTGAGGGATGGCAATCCTAAGTCAATTGCCTGCCTAGCCAAAAAAAAAAAAGAAAAAAAAGAAAAAAGGCTTGAAGTGATTGGGTTGGTGGGGGGAAGAGTGGAGCAAGTTGCTTGCAAATAAAAAAATAACATAACCATGACTTCATCGTAAAAGAAAAGATCCTGTTAATTGTACGTGAGTTTGCACTTGCTCCACTATATTCGCTTATAGTATCTGTTTGATATGAACACTTTTTCAGGAGAAATCTACTCCAATTCAAGTGGTAGTACCTCAACATAGTGAGGTTTACTTTTTAAGGAAGTTTTAAAACAAGTATTTATGAGCTTTGTCAAATCGAGATATTGACTGTGATGGCTGGCTTTTATTTAACAGATTCAGTGTATGTGGCCGGATCTCAGTAACTCGTTTCCCTGACACAGTCAAACAGATTAGTAAATACAAGGTAACCATGATGCCTCAAGACAAGGACAAAGCATCAGTGGTTACAACAGAAACTGACCCTCATGGGGCATTTTGTTTTAAGGCAAAATCGGGTACATACAATGTTCAGGTAAGAATGAGCTTCCATTTCTTCATTGTAGAACTGTCATAAGGTTTTAGAAGATTTTAAACATTTAATTTCTGAAATCTGAGAAGTTGTATTTAGATTTTCCCGGTCCTTTTCTCCTGTTTGCACTATTTAAACAACAACAGT